GTAGTCCAAGAACATCTGGAGGCCCAAGGTTGGGGACCACTGATATCTCCAATGTTAGGCCATGGAAACCCCTGCTCCTGTAACACCTGTGTGCTATGAACATCCCCAGAGTCATCCCACTCCTGGACTCCTTGCAGGCAGCTGCTGTTGACTCACGGGCTTTTTAAGTGTGCCGTGGGTGGTGAAGTCTTGAAGGCTTACTCAACTGAGTTGCTGCCAGGTTGGGTAAAAATAAAATAATAAAATAGGTAGGCTGCTGCAGACATGGCTGAGCATCTTTCAGAGACAGCCAAAGGCAACTAGAGTTCAGTTTAATTTATTATTTATTTTTTTGAAATATTTATACTCCACTTTTCTCCTAATGGATCCAAGGCGGCTCACAGGATGAAAAGCTAAATAATAAAATTGTTGCAATATTTTAAAAAGCCACGTGGTGGCCGCCATACACCTCATGCCTCATGCCACTCTGCATCTTTCTAAATGCTGAAAGTGTAGGAAGCTGCCTTGCACGGTGGTCTGTATGGGCTCTCCAAGGCTTGGGTTTAGGCATCTGACTGTGGATCCAGAGGCTGGGAGTTCGATTCCCTCCAGGGTGCCTCCTTGACAGGGGCTGGACTCGATGATGCGACTGGGTCCCTTCCAGCTCTGCCATTCCGCAAGGATGATGATGTTTTTCCCATCCTTAGCAGGAGATGCTGCCTGTGGGAACCAAAACCTGGCCACTACTCTCTGCCAAGCAGGGGCTGTACCACCCACCACCCATTCTTTCCACCACCTGCTCAACACACACGTGAAGCCCTTAGGATGGAGTCCTGGCACCAATTGGAAAAGGGTGCCGATGGGCGACAAGGCTTTAAAGCCACCTTGCGCGCACACGGCTTATCAAACTTTGTTCTCCCTCCAGCACCATTTGCTCTGAGATCTGCCTCCCCTCCTGGGGACCCAGAGAAGAGCAGCCATGACTTGAGATTTTAGCTGGTGCCCTGAAATCAGTTGCAGATCAGCACCTGGACTGCAGGCAGGTCCACCCCCTCTCCTGGCCTTCTCCAATCAGGTGAGAGGTATTGTAAATATGTTTCCATTCCTTATTTTTTTAAAAAAAAAAATAATGTTGCAGCTGTACATACATACTCATCATAGGCAATTTTATGCAATTGTATATCTCTTGGGGGGTGGGACATGTTATCTTTTTGGTGACACATACACTGCCACTCAGTCAGCCACTTCCACCTTGGAGGCATGTCATTCCCCCACCCCAGCACTGAAGCAGCTTGGCATCCTCAGCCAGATCAGCCTTTGTCAGATGCCAATCCTAGAGACATTCTCCAAAGGAAGGCATCCACCCTGTGTGAACTCAGTTTAGAAATAGCTAGCTCTGTCTTTGAGTGTATTTTCCAGCTAGATGGTATGCTTTAAATTGTAGCTTGCCTCTTAACTATAAACCACTTTTGGAATCTTAAGAATAAGGATTCTTCTTCTTCTTAATATTCTTATTTAGTGTCCCTGGTCTCGGGTGTCTAAGAGCTCAAGGCAGTGAAGAGCAAAACCAACCATTTTGCACTTTACAGTGGGGTCTTGACTTGAGAACTTAATCCGTATTGAAAGGCGGTTCTCAAGTCAAAAAGTCTGTAGGTCAAGTCTCCATTGACCTACAGTGCATTGAAAACTGATTAATCCCGTAACAGGCCGTTTTTGTTCCATTTTGGTTTTTTTCTGGCCTGTAAGTCAAATCTCAGCCTGCAAGTCAAACCTAAATTTTGTGGCCAGAGAAGTCTGTAACTCAAAAAGTCTGTAAGTCAAGCCATCTGTAAGTCAAGGGTCCACTGTACTCATTTAACAAATGAGATGCACACCTTAAACATGAAACCTGTAACAGAATGAACAGAGAGACACCGTGGTTGTGGCGATCAATTTTGACCAGAACAAACCAAATCAATAAGAGTTTATAATAACAACAACAACCTGCTTCATAAGAAAATGGCAAACCTTTTGCATTGCTGTGCAAATCTTCCTGCCTACCCATTAAGCTTTCACCTGCACATTCATTTCACGGGAGCAGTTTCTACTGCCCACACCAAGAGGCAGCTGCGACCACAAGACTGGATTTAACACCACACCTGTATTATTAATCTCCTCATTTCCCAAAATCCCATCATGGGAAATGCCTAAAGACCAACCACAGGTGGTGGTGATGGTGGTGGTGAGTCTTTCAGGAGTACATTTTATATAGTGCTGAGCCTGGCTTAGGAAAGAGGAATGGGCCCAAACAGCTGATTAACCTTGAAGGAAAGGAGATACCCAGATGAACAGGCCCTCAAGAGCAATGGAGTTAAGTCTCTGGCCATGGAGCCAAAGGTTGGGAGTGGAGTTTGATTCCCCATTGTTTGCCTCCCGGCAGAAGAGCCAGCCTAGGTAGCCTTGGGAAAGCTGCACAGTGGTCCCAGGGCTCCGCCAGAAGAAGGGAATAGGAAGCCACCTCTGAGTACTCTTCTCCCTGGAAAACCCTGTGCCGTAAGTCACAATTGACTCAATGGCACACAATTATTTATTATTATTAAAGAGCAAAAGGAAAGGAAAGCTTTGGACTTATGGGATATTTTGTTTAAATGCGGAACAAAGACGTGTTAATGGCTATTTCCTGTCCTCCATTACATCATCTCTGTGTTTATTAGGACTTCAGTGTTTGTGATTTATGGTTTGGTCACCCCGTGATGTAAGACATGCTGCTCACATTCGGGATGCATTTATTTTGTGGGCTCTTTATGGGGGCCAGTTGCTCAATATGGGGGAAATAGGAGCACTTGCCCTTAGCGCCATAGACTCCCGATCCTATTCCTGAAAGTTGTTTTGGATCAATACAAGGAGAAGATCTGTGGCTGCTGAGATACAGACAAATTTTATAGCCTGTCCTGCTGGCTTGGCAAACAGCTCAGGCGCGATGGAGCCGGGTGGTTCCCCCGTGCATTCAACTTGCAGATTAGATCCTTGGCATTCCTGGGTGCCATCACCTGTTTTGTTTGCCGGAGCTTTGAAAGGCACAAGTCGGAGGGATGCCAGGAAGCACATCCCTTTCTGTGCCTGGAAGAACTGAGCACCACCAAGAAAGCTTCACAGGGCCCCAATCCTTGCGGAGGCTCAGATCCGGATCTGGGACCTTGAAGGAATAGTCCTCACAGAGCCACAAAACTCTCTCTCTCTCTGTTTCTGACTAGCCTACCTTAAAGGATTGTTTTGAGAACTAAGGGGAGGTGTTAAAAGAGCCGTGTTTGCTACCTTCAACTTTGGTGGGATAGAATTGTAACGGATAAGTCCTAAAAATAAAGCACAGGACAAGCTCCCTGTCATACGTCTACCCACCAGTTTTGAGCCCTTATAAATTCAATAAGCGACCTCTATGACCCTCCTGTTAGGCCCCTATAGCCCCTTGCAAGGTGCAGGCATTCACTAACATTTGCTGTGCTGTGTTTCAATGAATAGATTTTTAAAAAAAAAAGCCCCTTTTCACCTCCTTATTTTGATAGAAACAAGCAACTTTCTTCCTGGAGAGCGGAACTGCCCTGCCATGTCCAAAGTGCCTCTGGACATGTGGAAAATAAAACACCTGCCCCCGCCCAAAAAAAATACAAAGCAGAAGCTGCACCTATCTTACAAACCTGGGGCAAGGGGAGACCCTGAGATCGCCGGGGGGGGGAGAGCAAAGGGCTGCCCTGCAGGCTCAGGGGGCTGGGTAGGGGGGCCTGTAAGACTTTCCAGCTTTGATGAAACTCGCGCTGCCATCTTAAAACCGGCGACAAAGTCAGGGAGGCCTTACCCCCAGACGTCGAGGGAGAGCTCTGTGTCCAGCACGTAAATGGTGCTGGTCGGTTTCTCGGTCGAGAGGCGAACCCATCTCTGCTCCGACATGCCGGCGACCTCTCCGCTCTCCCGCGGCTGCTGCTAATGCTGCTGCTGCTGTCGCCGTCGTCCTCGTCTCCCCCTGGGGCCAGCCTGGGCTGAGGGTCCCTGCAGCAGCAGCAGCGGCGGCGGCGGCGTCTCTTTATGCTCTGCTTGAGCGCAGAGGAGGCCCCGGGGAGTGGAGAGGAGGGGATGGGATTAAGGAGGCAGGGGCACCCCGCCCTCTGGGCTCTCCATCGGCAGGAGGGATAGGCTGCCTGGCTCCTTTAATCCCACCTCTCGCTGCTCTGAAGCCCGGTTGGAGGCGCGCCCCGGGGCGGTGCGCTCAGGTGCGCCACGAGCCGAGGAAGGAGAGGAGGGAGGGTGCGAGCCAGGGAGCGACGCCTCCGCTTACCTGGCGTTCTCGGGGGGGGGGAGAGAAGGAAGAAGAGGCTCGGAAAGGAGAGGAGGAGGAGGAGGCGGGGGCAGGCAGCCAGCTAGAGAAGGAGTAGTAGGTGGACTTCCTTCGCCTTACCTGGAGAGGCCGGCCAAGGTCTCTCCGTGGTGACACCTTGTCTTGCTCCCTAAGGGCATTTCTTATTCTCTTGCGCTCACGAAATAGACCTAACCTGCCCGCTGCACGCACACACACACAAAGAGAGAGAGAGAGAGATACAGAGAGCTCCAGGAGACCTCGAAGACTGGAAAACGTCGTTCAGGGGGAGATTGCTTGGAATCAAATGCATCCCTAGCTACATCTAAGAAAGAGAGCGCCCCTGAAACATCAACGTGCTCCTTGAAATTTATCAGCCTTATACTCGCAAGATTTCAAAGCTGAGAATAACAAAAACATCAGTCAAAAGAAAAAAGGAAACATGAAACCTCCACAGAACTGTTCTTCTGCTTTACGGTTTCTAAGTTTTGCAAGCCCAAAGAGCTTCCTGCCAAAGCACTTAGAGACCACCACCATCCAGGGAGGTTTGGCCAGGAGAGCCGAGGTGGTTTGTTTGATCTTTTCTTATTCTTTCCTTTCCTTGGGTGCCTAATCATGAGGCCCTAGTCAAGTTGGGAAAATCTGCTGATGGCCATCAGAAATTAAGAAGGTGCAACTCAAAAGGGTGTAGGCGTCATGCCAACGCTGACCTCATCGGCCATATCTCCACTCATGGAAGTCATTCTCTGAATAAGTTAGCATCCCTGGCGGATAACGTCCAGGGCAGCAGCAGACACCGACCTGCTTGCCTGCACCCTTACTTGATTGCTGATTGCCTCATCTCCATCATGTAAGATCCAATAATCTAGGCAGATGAACACGTCACTACGCCCTGTCTCCAGGGTTTGCCTTCTAATTACTTCCAGAATCATAAGAGCAAGCAAAGAGAAACTAATAACAGCAATAAAATCTGCATTAGAAACACCAGCTTCTTAAAGGGATCTTTTGTACATCCACTGACTCTGTCTGTCTTGAGAACAAAAGCAAGATATTTCTCCTATGTTTGGGCTCACAGTATTGAAAATAACTTCTTGTATGGTTGCTACCAGGCCCAGTTTAATTTTTTTGTGGCACTGGAGTATGAGAACATTTGGCCAAAGCATGGAAAGTAACTCCCAGAAGTAATTAGTCTTAGTTATAGTTCCAAAGTCCCAAACATTATGTTATACAGTAGTTATGATTTTTTAAGTAATTGTGCATCCTCAAAACTAACAGCAGTCATTGCTGATGATAGCACAATCATTCTGGCATTTCAGTTAATGAAGACTTGTAATGGGATTTTAAAAATAAATTATCACTAATTAAGCCACAGGTGGTAGGATTAAACCTCCCAGTAAGTTGTAAATTGTAAATTTCCCTTTGAAGTTCCTTTGTTCAAGACGGGCTATTTCAGTTCACAACCAGAGTATCCAAAGAGGATGGAGTTTTCTTCCTTGTTTAATGTCAGGTTTGTGTCCATTTATATCCTTTTGCACAGAGACAGACCTGATCATATTTTGTAAAATGCAAAAGAGCATCCCTAGCAGAAGATGGCACAGATTGCCTGCCACGTATGCATGCATGCATGTAATCATTCAGTCATTCATCCTGTTTCTACCTGCTAAGGCTGTAAAAGCAACAGACAGCATTTTTTAAAAGCAGGCTTAAACAATTTTTGAAAGCCAGGGTTAAAAAAATTAAGCACTCATGTTCTTGACTAGAAAAATGAGCATGCAAATAAATTCTTGTCATTATAGTCGGTTTAATTACACCCTAAAAGAGTCTTGTCCAAGTAGATAAGTCTTAAAATATTTTTGTTTTCCAGGTTTTCCTGGGTTAAATTCCAGCTCAGTGGTTTGCTTGCACACAGAGAAGAGGCATATTCCTGTTGAATTATTATCTCTAGGGTTGGTATCCTTGCAAGAATGACCTGGAGCAATTAACTCTGCAAATTTATTTTCTGCAGTACAGTATAGTCTTTATGTCACGAGCTGGTTCAATCCAGCCCCGTTTCCCTATAGACTTCTGCAAAGCAGCTTAGCAGCAAAACCTCACATGTAGTTACTCTACCAAAGTGTTAACTTGAGAATTTCTAGCAGTCGGGAGATTTGAACCCGGCTTTTCCAAGAAAAAGCTTGAGGGTAGATCATTTTTTCTCTTTTTATTTTATTTTATTAATAATCAATGATGAGAGATTATGGATGCTATATTCCAAAGCATCACTACAGCCTCCAGGTTGTAGCCTCTTATTTCATCTGGATGTGCCTTTCAGTAAAAGTTATTATCAAAAAAAAAAAGTCATATAGCATGACATGCAATATATAGCAATAAAAGGCAGTTTTTAAAAAATTAAACAAGGTAGACTGATCAACTTAAAATGCCCAGAGAAGTGGAAAACGGAGTTCCTGGCACTGAAATGACTGCAGGGGCTTGGTCTGGTCCCAACCGTGCGCTGGCCACCCAGAATGGTTCCTGCTTCTCTCTTTGTTCCTGATTCCCATCACTATAACTTGTCAGGCTTAGAAATTGTGGTTCCCCCCACCCTTCCTTATTACCTAAAGGGTATGCCTATTGTCACTGTGACCACAGTACACCGGGTGAATCTATCCAGTTAGGCCAAGGTGCAGTGGCTTGTTTTTAGTTTTCCATACAGAAAGTGTAGCAGTTCAGGTTGGCCAAAGGCGGGAAAACAATGTCAATGTGCCCATGATATGTGCTTGAAATATATCCTGTTGTGTTGTTTTTTTTAAAGTATATATATTACATGTGTATTTAAAATGAGAACTACCACTGTTGCCCAACTAACAGGATAATCTGGGGGTTGTAGTCCCCAAAATTAGCTTCCCCCAACTTCTGCAGCCATCACAGTGCACCTTCCAAGGGTTTATACAGCCAATCTAAATAAGTATATCTTCAAATACATAAGAGCCAAGATGTTTATGGGCCCGAGAGGCCCATGTAGACGTGCCACTCCACACATACTCAGTTATGGGGTCCTTGTGGATCTGGAGATGTCCAAGACAATTCTTCAGAATATCTATATTCATGTGAGGTTTCACACACCAACTTTCCCAGGAAATTCCATTTCCTCATTCAAGGGAGTGCAGACGTCAAAATGACCACTCCTTTCAGAATTTCTGCATTCGTGTGAGGTTTCACACGCCAACTTTCCCAGGAAATTGAGCTTCCTCATTCAAGGGACTGCAGTCATCAAAGAATTCAGTCTTGTTCAATTCATAATGAAAGATGGCAGGAAAAAGATGTCGGGTTCTGATCATTCATTTATTCCTCCATTTAGCAAATTTGTTTCACTCAAAAGAAGGGCAGCCATACTTCATCTGCTTCTGTCTTAGAACTCAAAACGTTTAGGCAGTTCTGGTTCTCCCTGAGCATTCCAGGTTTGAGAGGAACACCTTAATTCTAGCTTAATCTTTAATGCTTGTCCCTCATGACCCCACCTTGCAATTAAAGCTCATTGCAAGATAATTCTATCAGTGCCTAGTGAGTTCATAATTATAGACCCTTCTGGACATCCTAAACCCAGAGGTTCATTTGAAAAATGCCTAAACCCCAGTGAACAGGTTCAAAATATTGGATATATGCAGGCTGCCTATTGGATGCAAGAAAGTGACAGGGTCTTCATTTTCCCCCCTCACAGATATATCTCCCTATCCTCTCCTGTGGGGAGATCATGACAGCATGCTTAGTCCTTATTATTACTTTCTACCATCACATCAATGCTGCAAGATAGATTAAGGTGCAGAGTCAGGACTAGCTCATGGTCATCCAGTGAGTTTCATGGCTCAGTCGAATCTTTCCACTCCTAGCTCAACTCTCTGGCTACCACTGCAAACCCATGGATGAAACAGGTGGATGCTTGCCCCCCCAAAAAAACAGGTGAGATGGGGAGCACCCCTCTGCTCAGTCCAAGAGCCCCCACCCCATGGCCTGTGCAAATCAAGAGGGTACAATTTCTGGAGACCTAAGACTTTCTCCCCGGCAGCTTTTCCATGTTCACAATGTAATCAATGGCACTCTAAATTTCTACAATGCTTTGGAAATGTATTTATTTTTTAGGGAAGTCAGGGATGATGGATCGGAGTTCCGCCCCATTTCAGGGGGTTATGTTCCACCAGTGGAAGGTGAAAGGTGCCCGGCGGACGTTGGTTCCACAGTGATTTTCTCCCAATAAAACATGGTAGGAGAAGAAGTTGTCGATGAAGTTGCAAGCCAGGCCCAGTGGTTCCAGAAGGGAGCGGACGTTGGCTTCCAGGCAACACTGGCCATGGATGATGGGCCCGAACGGCTTTGGGATGCCCAGGTGCTTCCCCAAGATGACCATGTTGACCTATAGAGAGCAAAAAAGTGATGGGTTTAGTCAGGTGGCCACAGAAACTCTCTTTGGACAAATGCTGGCTCTACGGCTAGGAGACAGGGATGAGCACCATGCCCTAGAGTCTGTCTTTTTTAAAAAGCAGAACAGGGAAGGTCCTCTCACCATGTCTGGGAACAGCGCAGTTGCCCTGGACTCTTCTAGAGTGAACAGCTGTGGGATGTCAATGATGTCTCGCTCGCTCAGGCCAAGCTCTCGCTTTAAAATATTTCGGTTCCAGTCAATGCAACTCTATTGGGGGGTGGGGAGAGAATACAAAGAACTGCAAATGTATGAAAAGCATATTATAAAGTCAAGCAGGGAAGGCAATCTTAATTAGTATTAGAATTTACTGTGACTCCTTCCTTCCTTCCTTCCTTCCTTGGTAACTTATTTTGCAAAAGGCAAATGCTTCAGTTTTCTCAGACTTTCATTTTCTCTCATGGTTACTGTTAACTTCATCCATATTGCTCAGGTTTTGACACATCATGGCATGTCATTTTAAACAAACAAATTGCTAACGCTTTAAACATTTTACATCCTGATTGTGTCACTCGAAGAAATAATCTTTATTCATAATTAATTATGGTGGGATTCAGTCTCCAGTGTGGTTAAAGCATAATAACTGTAAGTCTTTAATTGACACCCTATTTTTCCCCACCATTTTATCCTCAGAACTGCAAACTCCAGCTGGTAACAACAGACGTCCTTTTCTTAATCAGTCTTGAAACATAATGTAGGTGTTCTTTTTTCCTCCTCATCAAAAAATAAAACTCCCCACAGGATTACAAAAGTACTTTTCTTAAATTGCTTGAGATATTGGTTTTGTTATTGGTTAAAAGGAGTGACTTTAATCCATGCAAAACTGTGCAGCTGTTTACCACTGGGTTTTTTTAATCCAAATGGTGAAAAGGGTCATCATGAGCCTCCCTGAGAAAATGTCATTACAATACTTTGGGTAGGAGAGACTTCTGTCTGGATAGCAAACTCTGTTTCATATCATCATCATCTACATGTACAAGAGAGTGGGATCAGCAGATGACGGGAGCCCCCTATGTGCAGAAGCACAAAAATATATTTCAGGGTTTGCATGAAGGAAGTTCTAAGGGAGGGGGTGTCAAAACAGCTCAGTAACAACCAAGTATCATCATTACAGAGGAGTGAAAATCATGATTTGGCTTTGAACAGAAAAGCACAATTTTTTCCTTCTTCCTTGCTACAAAATGAGATTTTTTTTAGTCTTGGAGAGAAAGCATGCCTTTCTGAGATCAAATATTTTTAATCATTTCTGAAACCATTGAATATATAGCCTCATCACAAATGAAATGTGTTCAGTATTTGGAAAGGCAAAGATGTATTAGTTTGCTTTTTCCTGGAAAATGATTCATTAAGGGTTTGAGGTTGGTTGGTTGTTTTTTTAAATGCTACAAGAGTATTTCTCAATAGTCTGCATAAAAAAGGGGTGGGTGGGTCTAGTGTGAGAGGACCAGATCCAAAAAATTGTAGCTGTTGCTGTTGTTGTTGTTACAGGTTTACCTGCACATATTTGCTGTCATGGCGCAGAGCAGTATCAGCCAGAAGCTCATCAAGCGTAATTGTTCCCCATCTCCCTAGTCCTAAGAAGGGAATAGATTTTACAAACACAACTTACTGAACAGGGCAGACAATCTGTGAGGCAGCAAGAGCCAAAAATACAATCACCTTCAAAGAGGGCAGCATCCCCATAACCTTCTTTCTGTTTCTCTTTGAACAGGTTCAAACAGGAGAGAGGACTGGCTAAAAGTAGTCGGAAGCCCTGCAGAGAAGAGTCAAGAAAGAGAGAGATGAGACAAATAAGCTGATGGACGGAATCAAATGAATCTATGAAATCTTTTATTGCTCTCTTTCATGTACAGCAGAGAGGTAGGCAACTGTGGTCCTCCAGACAGTGCTGGACTACAATTCCCATCTGTGCTAACCAGGACAGTCTGTAGTGGAAGACAACAGGAGTTGTGGTCCACCAACATCGGGAGGACCAAATGTTGCACCCTGTGGAGTTTCGTGCACTTTGTGCAGCCTCACCCCACACCATAGGCACTGGCTAACTGTCTGTGTCACAGAATATTAACAAACATTCTACCTGAGTAAATGAGACACACTAGTTACAGCTTGTTAGTAACAGGTACTGTTTGGGCTCATGGAAGGGAGATCCTGGGAGGAAACCCTTCTATGGAGATTAGAAAGAGGGGCAGTGATACCATTTCCCCACAGATTCTGTACCTTCCGGTCAGGAGCTGGGACAAAGCTGAGGAATTCGTCCACATGCCCCACAGTGAGCCAGTCCGAGTATAGTTCTACGGGGGACTGGACTTTCTGGGCATAGAGGAAGTCCCGGACAACTTTGGCCATTTTCCGGTTGCCAGGCCTAAAAAGACAAGGCAGGTGGAAAAGAGAGAGGAAGAAAATAGATGGATGGAGAGAAGGCAAGGTGCAATGAGAACAGATCATGCCCAAGCTTGAAACTTGGGTTAGATACCTGTCATCCAAAAAGAGGGGAAAAATGGACAGGTGTATTTTTATGAAGTTTCTGAAGGGGAGGGTTGAAATGCATTTAAAAGCAGAAGTAAAAATCCAGGTACTTCCCACTTCTGCATTCTTAGAGTTAATGCTATAACAACAAAAAAATCGAAATGAAATGTGTGCATGCCTCTACCTAAGGATGGAAGATTAGACGTTCTTAACTGAGTTTGCTTTCACTAAATTTATTGCTGGTTCTGTTCTTGGAGCCCATATTCATCGTATATAAAGGCTGAATTACAGACTGATTGCATACCGAGTCATACAAGGTGTTTATGTCTGAACCATAATACCACACTTCCCAAACAAATGGCTAAAAGTGCAGTAACTTTTCCGAGTCATCCATTGTGAGTTGTTTTTTTAACTTCCTGTATATTGCAGCATCCCAGTCTCTTTTAGAGATGAACAGGAGTTTGTATGTCTTTCAGCCGCCCTCTTTTCTGCACGTGGCTGGCACTCCTTCAGCTCCGCAAGTGGCCATGAAAAACGCGGGCTCTCACCCGGGAAAGCTGCTGCCGATGAGGATCCTCCCGAGAGGGTACTCCTTTCCTCTGACCTTCACAGGGGGGCTGATGTCCAGGTTCCCAAAGGAGTCAAGGCTGGAGACGCGACCGTTCTTGGGTTCTCTGGTCACGTACCCAAAATCAGGGCCCTCCACGGGGAAGGAGAACAGAAAGGAAGAGCATACATCATTCTTGAAAAGGAAAGGTATTTCACAGAAAGCAGGATCTTTAATCTCATGTCTGTTTCTGGGAAACATTATTCATTGTTAAAGAGGAAGAAGGCACCATCTTAATCTAGGACTATAAGCTTTTATGACGTGGCTTCAATGGAAAGCTGCCCCACCTGTTCAAATTTGGCCCTCAAGGACATGGGGAAATCAGCAGGTTGTCTTTCACCCTTCTGGGAAAAGCCTGGTGAGCCTAAGGTTGAGAGGCAGACCATTTGAATAGAGAGGATCCCCTTAAATTCCATTAGGAAAAAAACCTTTGTTACTTACTCAGGCATTCTGATCCCTGTCACAAGGGTAACAAGGACTAAGGGCAAAAGCAAGCCAGTGCACCGGGAGACCGGCTATCATGCTGTGAGCTCAGGGCCGGCCCTACCATCAGGCAGAGCAAAGTGGTTACTTCAGGTGGCAGATGCTACCAGGCGGTAGCCGTGGGTGGAGGAGGCAGTGTGGCCTGCTTGATCCCCTTTAGCTGCCCTGCTGCCTTTAGGTGGATGGCTGGATGGGTGGGATGCTTGGCCTCAAACATCAACCTGTTTAGGGGTGGACCTGACTCCTATCTGTGGAGGAAGCTGTGGTCCCCATATGATAAAGATGGAAGGTCCTTCTCTCTGTAATGATGGGTCCGATCACTGGGAACTCTTGCCTTACCAGAATCCTCTTAAAAGGGAAGTGCTGGAGACCTCTGTTCCGTGGAGAGTCAAAGACAACTGGGAAAGACTTATGGGGGGCCTCCACGTAACCAAACTCCATCTCATCCTGTTGGTAAGAAGAAGCGGGGGGGTGGAGAAAGGCTTGGAATTCTTCTGTCTAATCTGCTAGCTCCCTCCGGTTTAGGGTGGGTCAGAACAATTTTAAAAAACAATTCCCTCCTCACCGTATCCCTCAAGGAGCTTCTGGGTGAAGCTTTTATTATGCAATCCCTGTTGGTAAGAAGAAGCATGGGATTTTTATGAATCCAAACATGGGATTTTATGAACCGGTCTAGACCTTCTGGTCTTCTGCGTCCCACCATCTGTGTTCCCCCACTGTTTCCTCTGTTCTACTCTGTTTTGTTTTCCTTCCTGCAGCACTCTGCTGGGGAGGGGAAGATGGAATGGCTGTGTTCAAGGGCTGTCCCTTTGGAAACATTGTCGGGTTCAAGCTAGATGGCACCGTTGGTGTGTCATCAGAAGCGAGGGGCTCTTGAGAGGCGGGAAGAGTTCTGTGCATACCCAGCTTGCTTTTATTTTGTGAGCCAACCATGTTTCCCATCCCATATGTTACCTGGATCCAGCGGTCACCCCGGTTTTCTATTTCTGGGCATATGGTCAGCTTACAGTTGGCTTTCTTTGCCAGGACCTTTATAGCCTCCAAGAACTTCTCATTAGGAAAATCTCCTTTCTTAATGCTGGAGGAGGGGGGGGGAGAGAGAGAGGGAGCAAGGAGGATCTAAGCTATGATGAACAAACAGAGGAATTGTTTTCTCTTAATTTTGGAAGGCGTCCTTTGGGCCTCAGAGGCAGCTGTCCTGCTCCTTGGCCTGCTCTTCCAAGAACACAGACATGCACTTTCACACCTCACAGGATTTGTTCTTTCAGCATTAATGTTGTTGTGATCTTCAGACACAATTTCTCAGAGCTTTACAGGAAGCAATAACCAAATCTGTTGGCACTGGGACCTTTAGTAGTCATTGAACCACTGTAAACTAAAAACTGGGCTCGAGCGGCAGGAAGCCAGATTTAGGCGGAATATCAGGAAAACCTTAACTGTTAGAGCAGTACGACGGCAGACCCCATGACCTGGGGAAGTGGTGAGGGCTCCAACACTGGAGTCCTTCAAGAGGAAATGGGACCACCCTCGGTCAGATTTGCTTTAACATGGATTCAAATGGGACCACCCTTGGTCAGATCTGCTTTAACGTGGATTCATGCCTCAAGCAGGGGGTTGGGCTGGATGGCCTTGCAAGCCCCTTCCAATGTAATCCTTCTATGGTTCTATGATTGGCCTTAGCTTCTTAAATAACTCGAGCAGTACCCCAGACTCACCCCCAGGGAATTCGTTACCTGCAGACAAAGACCTCTATAGGTTTCCTTGTGTTGGGAGTCATCAGCCAGGGAGCCACCCGGAAAACCACCGTGTCTGTGAAAACGGGAGTAGCTGGTAAATTCTGTGGTAGGGCAAAGGTGGGGAGAAGGAGAAGAGAAGAATGAGATGGCATGAAATCACGATATTCTACTTCTGCTGTAAGCTTGAGAAAGGCATGGATGGAGAATGAATCATTATATGTTTCGGTCGGAACTGGTTTCTTTGTGCAGCTGAAGCACTTCTTCCCTTCTCTACTGGCTTCCACTCAAGATGGGTTTTCAAGCATGAGAATGAGACTTACCGAGCAGAATGCGGAGCCTATTGCACTTGCCTGTCCATTTCACCCAGAGCAGCGTACTTTTTGTACTGAGAGCATTATTCCAAGATGCTTCCAATCCTTGCACCCCAAAATCCTTTTAACTGGAGAAACCTGAAGCTGAAACGGAGGCCTTGTGCATGGAAAGCTATTGCTGTGCACAGAATTGTGACTTCCCAACAGATCATGCCTAAATAACTACCTCTGGGTTTTTTTAGAGCCTGCCGGAGCAGCTGTAAAGGACCTGCTCCATCTTCCCTCCCCTGTCTCCTTCAGAACTGTACCTGACCAGAGCGCTCTAGGAGAGTGGCATGTAAGGAAATCAGGCCATTGAAGTTGGCATCGGGGAAGGCGAGCCCCTCCACGTAGAAGGTATGCTGTTCTTCCCCATCTGCCTGCCCCACTGCATAGGAGAGCTTCTCCGATCCCAGGACACGCTCATAACTAGAGAGAGATGAACTGCCTGTGGCAAAATAAAGATTAAAGCCCAATGTCAAGAGCAATTTTTCATAAGAGTATAGGAAGTTGCATTACATAAAATCACATTCTTGGATCTTTCTAATGGGCAGAACACTTACCCAGCCCTGCCAGGAGATGCTGGGGGTTATCTGTGGGTCCTTCTGTGGGTCAAACATGGGCCCCTCCTACTGTGGCTCACGGAAACACATCCAGACCAATCTCCTTTCAACTTTACTCAAATGGTCTGAACATCTGGGAGATGGCTTTCAAACCAGTTTAAATGCACAAACCTGAGAACAGCATCCATAGGCGTGTCTCTCCCCCAGACTCCAGAGCGCAGGTGTTTGAACAAAAATCTGAGGACTCACCAGAGGCATGGAAAACCCTCACTTTGTCTGCATCGAACATGGAGATGTGAAGGAGCAATGTGTGGCTGTCGTAGATACCGGCCGGTCCGTGGGTGTGGAGAATCACAAGGGACAGGTCTTGGAGGTCTTGAAAAGAGAGGGAGCAAAGATAAGACTGCCCCTCAAAACACTTTACTTCTAGCCCCATGGTTTGGTGTTCTCGGTCACCATTTATTGACCAGCCTACTCGAAACATTCCTCAATTTGTTGATTTCGAGGGAGATTTGGAAGTATTTCAGTGTCTGACAAGAAGATCCCATGCTCTCCACTCAAGCCCACGTCGCTGTAGCCCCAAGGAGAGTCCACAACACAGGCCACTAGGCTGATCCACATCAACAAACCCATTCTAGGAGTTACCTTCTCTGAAAACAGCAGTACTTTTGTAATGGTAACTGCTCTCAATTGCCCGTTCAGACCCAACTGTCCCCAAATACATGGCATGGCAACAAGGATAATTCATAACCATCTCCCGCTGCTCCAGAACTCAGGGTTTGTTTTTCCCCCGCCTCCACCCCTGGCTAGGGTGACAAGAGCAGCTAAGCTTAGGGGGACAGACAGCTTTGATTTTAAGCTCTGGCCCTGCTATAAGGCTGCTTCTGAGAGGCTTGTGGCCCCAGTAGGACTGAGGAAAGTTCTGAAGTGAACTTATTCTGCTTTCCCTGCTCTTTTTTGCACCGCACCCACTGGCTTTCAATCTGCCCTTCTCAGTTGCCTGTAAAGGGCACAGACAGATGATCCTTCAGAAGTGGATAACCCTTAGTGAAAGAACCAGCCATGCCATGTAGGAGACAAACGAGGTGCCTAATTCCTCTCTGAAGAGTGGTTGGTTGATGCACGAAGCAGTGGCTTGAACCCCGTGTTGCCAGACCATTTTCAAGGTTTCCTTGCTCATGCAAGCACTCGGGCCAAGCACATACCTGTATAAGATCGGACATATGGGTACGCATTGTCCATGTTCCCAGAGCTGGGTCCATCACGGTCACAGTTCACCAGCAAAATAGCCCCCTCCCCGTTTGGGCCCCATGTCCATTTTGTCTGGGAAGGAAATAGAGGAAGAAAAGGAGGAGGAGGAAGAAGAAGAGGAGGAGGAAGAAGAAGAAGAAGAGGAGGAGGAGGAGGAGGAGGAGGTTATATTGACCTCTCAATATAACCTCTCAAGCCTCACCAGACAGGAATGTATAAGGAACAAATATTTACCTTGTTGGCTGCATTCCTGGCCACCAACCCAGTTCGGCTAGTATCCGCATCCAGAGAGATAGCTGTGATACGAGGAACCATAATTAAAACTTGAGCCACTCCTGGTTAGACCCTCAAAATTCTGTTGCTCAGGTAGCAAAACCTCAAAAGAAAGGTCACCTTTTGAGTCTAGAGGAAGAACTGTGTGGTTCAAAGAAGGAAGCACAAGGCTAGACATTAAACTGTCTTTTAAAAACCAACATGAATTTAGAGTAATTTTAAACAGAGGAACGTGGATCGTATCTAAGACCTTTTCTCCCCTTCAGGATTTTGAAGAGCTTATGGCCGGTAGAACGAAGGATGTTCAGAAAAGGGGGGGGGTTGTTTCCTAACTCTAGTATTATTCTTTGAAAGGAGGGATTGTCTTGATGTTTCTGAAGTCAGTTAATGATTCTCTACAGCTGTGTTCCTGTAACCATTGGAAATCCAGAGTTGGAATAACGGTGATGTCATCTAGTTTCCAGAAGAGAAATTAGAAAGAGACTAGATGGGAAATTCCAAGAGGATCTGAATGAAGACATCCCAAGGATCATGATAGACAGGTTAACAAAGATGTCTGAGATTCTGCCACGGACTTGTTACTTACCCATACATGTAATATACAGCCAGGCATTGGCGATGAGGGTCTCTCCTGCCGGTCCGTAGTAAGAAACCCGAACCTATAGGGAAATATTATACCTACTTACAATGCCAAATGTCCAAAAGATTTTTCCCCCCTTGTGAGAGGTACGTGGTGTGGGGTTCACCGCTTGGGAGGTAACTTTCAATAGTTAGTTGCTTCTCAGTTCAAATCTCCACTCAGCCATTCACGTCACTGGCTGAACATGGATCAGTCACACTCCCTCATGCCAATCTACCCCACAGATTTACTGTTGTGAGCAGAAAGTCAGAAGAACAACCTTGTATTCTGCTCTGAGCTTATTGGCAAAGAGGCAAGATATAAATATAAACAACAAACAAACAGAACCCTATAAAATAAACCAGAAGCTGGAAATCCTTGACTCCCGGCTTGCAGCCTGCAAGGGCTGCCACTAGTCACAAAGAGGAAAGACAAGGATCAGCTGCTGCATGCAGTGATCATGCCAGGCGGCAATAGCGGGCAGAGGTGGCAAAGTTTGAGGGCCTCAGGGCATCCCTAGCTTCCATCTTTCTTGAAGCGAACCTTTGTCAAGAGGGATCAAAAGCAGAGGAGCTATTTTGCTTATGGCATCCAACTCTCATACCATCCTCTGCCCTCCTGGATTGAAGGTTAAGCTGCCTAAGATTTCAGGGCCCCAGTGAGGTGAGGAAGGACTGGAGCAAACCAGGGCAAGGGGGCGTCTGGATGGTCCCGACCACTGCCTGGGGGGGGGGAGCTGCTGATTATCTGGTTCTCCTCCACTTCGCTATTGGTTTATGGTCTCCGAAACACTTCATCATTCTCCCTGCTCAATTCCCAAAGCACTTTGGGCATAAAATACGGCCTCACAAGTTCTCTTTGCTCTCCTTCCCCTCACTCAGAAGATTTTGAGAGGCTATCTTGGTCTCAGGGACACCAAGGCGTCCTCAAATGGTCCACGAGCACTCCAGGAGCTGCAGCCGCTGATGCCTTGAATGGCCTGGCACTTCCTTTTCAGAGGGGATGGTGTGGCTTTTCCAGGCATCTCACCCTCCTCCTCCTCACCTTGTTGTCACTGACGGCGCGGCTGGGCTCCTTCAGGGTCACAATGACCTCCACCCCAGCATCCAGGGGCCACTTGGCTGTCTCTTCACGGGCGGTGACAAACTTTGGGTTGTAGCTGACGTAGACTTGGAGGCCGGAGGTCCCGCGGACACGGAACGACGTGGCACCCTTCGGGATGGACCTGGGGCCAAAACCAAACAAAAGCCATTTGCCTTGACCAGCCTTATTATGCATCTGAAGGCAGGACCTTTTTACATCTGGTAAGAGAAGTTTTGATAGCTATCTGATAAGTTTAGCCCAACTTTTCCCGTGCTTTTTTAAAAAGTGTCTCCCGGGCTCCATGTGGCCCTAAGAAAATAGATAAAAACAGATTAGAAAATAATGGTTGTCATTGGTTTTTCAGGCTGTTTGGCCGTGTTCTGGAGGTTTTTCTTCCTAATGTTTCGCCAGTCTCTGTGGCCGGCCGATTAGAAAACATTTTAAAAAAACAAAGCTTCTGCAGAATAATGTGTATACTTTTGGTTACCTGTGGAAATTCAACAGGGAGAGCCAAAGTCCTCCATGCTTCTACGTCTGACTTCTTGGGGTACAAGCAGATGACCCCAATTTCATGAGGATGGGGAATCCACTCCAGGCTTTAATCCAGAGTTGGCTGGGAGGGCTGTCCAAGGTCCTGAATTATATCCCCCCCCCCAAGTCGTCTCTGTATTTAGGAGGGCCTTTAGGTCCTCACATTTCCTCCCTCCCTCCCTTCAGTGCGACCCCTTGCCAATGCCTTGGAGCAGCTTGTAAAGTGAGAGATGAACCTGTCAGCACACAAAAATGTAAAAAAAAAAAGGGGAGACGAAGAATAAATCTAGCCATAAACCCATGTAATAGCTTCTTTTCTTGCAGTTGGCTCGGCTAGATTTATGATCTCTAGTAACACACCCATTAAACATGATTCCTTGGACTAGTTTTGTAATAGCTGGTGCAGCGGCGTTGGAAAAAAGGGGGGATACCCTTGATCTTTTATAGATACAAACAGGAACATTTTTAAAACACTGTTTTCCATATATGTATGGAGTAATCATCTTTGGTTATTGCCTTCCCTCTGCACGCACACATGCCAGCCATCCTAAGGGTTTGCAGTGCATAATTACATTCCACTTAAACACTGAAAGGGCAGAATAAATTGCCCACTGAGTATAAATCATTACATTATCATAATAGAATTATCCTTCATTTATTTTAACCTGATTGCCCTCAAAGGTAAAGGTTCCCCTTGACATGTAGGCCCAGTCTTGTCCGACTCCGTTTCCAAGCCATAGAGCTAGTGTTTTCTGAAGACAGTTTCCGCGATGACAGGTTCTCTACAACACAGTTTTGGCCTCTGGAACGGTATTTAGGGTTCCAGTGGTACATTTATTTTCCCTGTTGCAGCCTTTTAGGTCAGGACACCAGCCTAATGCTTTAAGGGTCTCCATAGCAGGTTTTTTTGGGAGGGTTGGGTTAGGGGTGTGCCCTGGGGAGGGGTGGAGCTACAGGAAAAAGGGAGGAGGGTGGTTTGCACCATGGACGTACACCATGCGAGACTGTCCATAAATAAGGATGTTTTCCCAAGCAAACCATAAAGGTCCAGAAGAGACACAGGGCTGTGGGTCGCCCTGCCCCAGGGTTTCTCCACTGAAGGATGGACAGAGGAAGGAAACACAACCTGTGTTTAACAGATGGTGTAAAAAGAACATTTCAGATATACCCACCACACCTCACAGGTTCGAAAGGAGTTACTGCCATCTTCCCACAAAATCAACAATGCCTTTTTGTGTGTGTGTGGCACCTTCAAAACCAACAGGTTTACGGAGACATAAATTTTAGAAAGAGCCCATTTTGGTCAGATCCACAGTGTTGACCTTATTTATAGAGACATTAAACTCCACAGCAGGAAAAAAAAAAGGGAGGCAAGGTGGAGGTCCCTGAAAGAGCATGGAATGAAGGGAATGGGGGAAGAAAAGGCACAAGAAATTTACTGGCCTACATGCCTCCTGAATTTCATAGCCTTTGGAGGTCCAAACTGCATTTCCTCGAAGGCCTCTGGCCGAGCCAGAGATCTCTGATGATCTCCATCCTTTTTTCAGGAGGAATGAAAGCAGGTGTTCGCCTCTCGCACATCCTTCTCGAAGGAAATGTAGAGAAAGGTGCCCCTTTATCTGTTCCGGAGGTCCTTCCCCTACAAATTCTGGTCCCCTCCTCATCTCTCTCTCTCTCTTGTGTGTTTGTGAACGTTTGGGGCAGGGGTGGGGGTTGGGATTTTTCTACTCTACAACAAGTGCATGAAAGGAGTCCTTTTTCCGCTTCCCTGGTCACTAAGCACCCTTTTTTCATCTTCTTCTCTTTTCCTTCCAATTTGTTTTGCCTTGTCTCCTGTGACTGCTGGGCATGGAAATTGACCCTGCCGTAGTCTGCATGAGACTCACCACCACTGCCAACAGGGATCTTGTGTCCACTCGTTCCCTGCTCAGTGCTTTGTCTTCTCCATCTGAGATAAGAGCTTGGATTTATTCTATGGACCAGTGATGGGCTGGCGAGCAAGGCAGGGTGCGTCCCTCCACCCGGATCACACCCAGGATCCCCCACAGCGCCTGTGAAATTCATCCACGTATCTGCAGAACCCACCTGGTAGCTAACCTCTCTTGCATAAGTCATGGAGCGATTACAAGATGAGCGTCCAGGTTAAGGCCACCTTAAAACTGCCCTGCCATCTTCTGAACACAGATCTCATGAGCAGGAGAAAGGAATTCAAAATCTCTCCATGTTAGTGACTCATGTGAAGCTGCTTTTAGTTGAGTAGCTGTGTTCAGGTCTTTGCTATCATAACAGGACATTCCTTTCAGGTTTTCACATTTCAATCTGCAACACATTACTCATGTGTTGCAAAGGCTGCATGCTGGTGTTGCCAGTGGACAGAAATAGCATCTCATTTGAAGGGGTGTGTGCTCCTGACATCCTATTGCTTCAAGTCTTTGCACGTCTCGCATATACATTCCTGTTCTTTCAAAATCTAAAGCCAAATTCTCACCCGTCTCTGCAGGGCTCAGTGGCAGCCAGATGCTGCAGACAGGTGGACATCACTGGTCTCAGCTCAGAGAGATCGCTTGGTTGGATGACAAGACCCAGCCTAGCCAAAAGATCATGGAAGATACTGAAAGCTCTAGCCTGTGGCCTAAAACTGATGGCTAATTTCAGGAAGAGTAGGTCCATTGAATCATAGTTGAATGGTAAGTCAACCCCTTAAGTTAACCCTATTGATTGGGGGGGGGTGTCTGCTAGTCAATGGGTCTAGCAGCTGGGTTTAGACACATACAGAGAGAGAGAGAAAGAGAAAGAGAGAGAGAGAGAGAGAGAAAAGTACGGTTTCCAAGCTTTGTTGACATGATGCTTCTAGCATTTTTTTTCTCTTTGCGCTTTAAATATAGAAGTAGGGAATGAGCCCAGAAGTAACTGCAGTGAACTTCCTTGCAAGCTTAGGAACCGCACAACACCTTTTTTTCTCATCACTCACCCATATATGTCTACACAGATTTCTGTCCCCAGCACACAGACAGCGGAGGTCGGCCGCTCCGTGGACACCCGGATGACTCTTTGCCTGGCGGTCATGGTCCCCCAGCAGAGAACAGGCTGATGAAATTAATGCCTCTGTGCAGTGCCTGGATTGTCCCTTTTCATGGCCCCACCAGCGCGGCTGCCTTCCAAGTGAGAAAACATGGAGAGAGGTGATCAGTTCCACCTTGTTCTCTCTGGGGCAGAACTGGAGGCTTGGTCTGGTTAGGTAAGAAAAAGCCACATTTGCTTTTTATATCTTTTGGACTGGGAGGAGGAAGAGGAGGTACAAGTTCTGTCCCCCACCCCCAAAGAACTCATTTCGGATCACTTGGGTCATTTTAAGCATCGGGCGTGCAAGGGTGTTGGGTCATTAGGCAGGCACCCCATTTGCCTTCTGTAGAAATGCTATAATTTAGCTTCCCATCTGTGTTCCTACCATCACATTACTCAGAAGGCTATCAGATGCGGTGTTTAGTTTGCAGAGGAAAAATATGACAGCTCGGAATAAAAAAGGATTGCTCCTTCCCCACATTCCAAGTAAACACACACACAGCACTTAGCTTGTGAATTCAACCCTTTGAATGGTTCCTGGAGCACAGTTCTCCTTTGTAAAGAACTTCATTCTACACTTCTTTCTAAGAAAACAAGAAAGCTTGTGTTGGTTAGAGAAAGGCACCTTGGACAGGAAATATGATAGACAGCCTAGTTCTAGCTAAGGGCGTGTCCACACTGACAGAATAGCCCACTTTTTGGATCACTTCTGGTGTTGTTTGGTTTACGGCATCCACACAAGTTCATTTCCTTCTGTTTTCTACTGAAGCTCTTTAAAAAATTTCTACATTTCTTCTCAGTCTTGTTGGGGGTAAAAAGGTGGGTTATCCATCTAAAAGGTGAGTCCATGCTCCTTTGGAAAGCTTATCTGGAAACCATGCCAGGGATTCTGGACATTGTAGTCTAAAAGTAGCATGGACCCTAAAGCCTGGACATTTCTCCCATCTGTCAATCGGAGCTTGGAAACAGGACGATGTTTTTGCGGATGCCTCTCCCATAGCCTCCAAACTGGGGATTTTTGGTTGGCCAGACTAACTGGGAATTGCAGTTCAAACCAGGCATTTTTCCAGACTTTGTTATTAATGGGGTTTGGGGCAGGACCTCCAGCAGCACTACAACCATCCATGGGGATCCTCGCCCTCAGCCCTTGTCTGAATCAGGCCTAGCAGCAGCGTGGTTCCATGGCAGGCATAATTGTCTCCACCAGCTAATTGCCCACATTAATTTCTATGTAAAAAAGCAAAGCAAAGCGTGCTGCTTATATACCACCCAATAGGGCTTCAAGCACTCTCTGGGCGGTTTACAAGTTAATGATGCAGGCTACACATTGCCCCCCCAGCGAGCTGGGTACTCATTTTACCAACCTCGGAAGGATGGAAGGCTGAGTCAACCTTGAGCCGCTACCCGGGATTGAACCCCAGGTCGTGAGCACAATTTTGGCTGCGGTACAGCAGTATAACCCCTGCGCCACAAGGCTCTTAATTAATCATGCCACATGATTAATTGTGATTGTGGTTTTTCAAAGCCCTTGCCAGCTAATTACAGGCAATGAAGGGAGGCAGCGGAAAGCCAGCTATGGTGCAGAATCACTAAAGGTGGAGAGAAGGGGGTGCTTTTGCTTTGCCTTGAGATCTATCCATTTCTAAAAGAAAAGGAGGATGTGATTGTCATGCAGCCTGCTTCCTTCAGGTGTGTAACCTGCTTCCATGGTGGAGGATAATGCTCCCTCAACTGGGTTAATGGAGATTTTAATGACACCCCCCACACACAGTTATCTTCTGGACATTAAAGGAAAGGGGACGCCTCCCCTGCATCTACAAGACCTCCCTAGAAACAAGCTGGCTCATATTCTTCGTTATCGTTTTAGAACTGCTTTGCTGGAAAAGGACCCTAGGGATCAGCTAAATCCAGCCCCTCTCCAGGAGGCCCAGTGGGGGAATCGAACTCCCCAGCTTCAGGATCCCCATTCAGAGACCTCCTAAATCACTGCGTTAAATACATTTCCAGGAGCTGTGTCAGCTCCTGCCCTGAAAAGACCCCTCTCTGAAACCCTAGACTAGAGGGTGGCTCACAGTCAGTGTTGTTACATCTTGGCTAGATAGCGTGACTCGATTTAAGGCATTTAATCCTCTTCCAATGTTGCATTTATTTAAAAAAAAATCATCCAGAATTGGCAAACTAACACTTTATTAGTCTCTCTCTCTCTCTCTGTCTGTCTCCCCCCTTTATAAAATGTATAATTAACTGAAAACAGCAACCCAAGATATATGACCTGCGACAGAGAGCCAGAGCCAAACCTGTGCATTAAATTATGATTAAGGCCATTTGTCAGACTTGTCTGATTTATTTCAGAGCGAGCGCTGGGTTTTCTCTCTGGATGCTCATCGCCTTATTACTCAGCGCCTGCTTCCGATGGAAATCATTAAGTTTTTGTTTCATTAAAGCGATTAAAAGAATAAAAGCCTGGGGAAGCCGTTCAGCCCTTTGGCGTTCAGAAAAGGAAATGAATTGGGCAGGGCAGAGCTGGAGAAATAACATCGTTTTCATTCTGACACTTCTATTGCCAGGTGTGAACTTGGATAACAGCAAAAGGTCCCAGGTAAGGACAAATCCTCATCCTTCCGCTCACCTCCCCTAGCCATTCTGGAGTTCAAAGGCAGGCTGGTACTAGTTCTTGCATAGCCATCAGGATGAAGCCCAGTTTCTCTCCACCATTCGGTCTGATCCTTTCTTTAAACTGCCCATGCTGGAAACTGTTGCTACGTCTTGTGGCTGGGAGTTCCATAGTTGAGAATAGCTTCTTTTTATCTATTCCAAGGCTTGGACTGAACATTGCTTTTCAGAAGTTATTCATGCAGGTCACGGACTCTTGCGCTTTGAAAGTAATTGTAGTTACTCATGAATGTTTAAAAATAACTTGTTACTTGTCACATTGCTTGTTACTTTTTACATGGCCTTTCACTGGTTTACAAATATCCAAGCTGGGCGCCTAAATCGGGAGCTTTGCTCTGAGACAGGCCGGTCTTAGGGAGAGGCCGGGTGCTTTCCTCCCTCTCGTGATTTAAGGGGGACACAAGGGGGACCACCGCCTTGTCTGCACCACCCACACAGACATCCACCCGGGACTGTCAGGCATTGTGAAGTGATCCTCCAATTTGTCAGGCACAAGAGAGGAGGAACCTGGGAGGGCCGTGCGCGCGTGTGCGCGTGTGTGCGTCCGTGCGTGTATGTGCAGATGTCTCATTGTGAAACCGGTCGGATGGGTCGGCTGGGCAGCCAGTTGTTTTCGTGTGTCTCTCTGGGTGTCTCCGTAAAGAACTTGCTAATTTAGGGTTTTGCTAGATGAGAGAGGTGTGATCCAAAGTTTACAGACCAAGTGCCTGAGGCTTGCCTTGTTCCTCTAGGGCAATAACTCTGGTTTCCTCATGAGCAGGTGGTGGACAGGGTGAGGAGCATTTGCAAATGAGGAGACAGTGACTTTGGTTTTAATTCAATTTTTCTGAAATGACCTACCTACCTATTAATCATATGGAGGCGCCTCTTCAGCAAGAAATGTGCTTTTATTCCAACAGCTCTGCTTGCATTAAAAAGGTTTTTTTTTGCTTGTTGATGGAAAGATGAGAGAGAGAGAGAGAGAGTCAACCTGGTCTCCATAGGCTGGGAGTTCTAGATTATGGGAGCAACCCCAAGAAGGGTTTAATTCATGAGAAGCCAAAGTAGCTGTCTGGAAAACCTCAGGGAGGCAAGTCTGTGGCTGCAGACCCAGAGGCTGGGAGTTCAATTCCCTGCTCTGCATCCCAGAGGGAGGCAACCTCTGTAGCCCTGGGCAAACTGCACAGTCCCAAAATGGCCCCAGAAAAAAAGGAAAGATAAACCATTTTTGAATATTCTCTGCCCAGAAAACCCTGAAAAGAGTCATCAGGTGTCAGAAATGACTTGGCGAGACCTGATTATCAGTTCATAAAGGTACCAGCTGTTCTTGCAGCTGTATTATGTAAGGACCAGGCAGCCTTTTTCTAATTTTTCTGAACAGCTGGAATGACTCCCAAGAGTTACGGTGCTTTGGTCAACAGCTGAAAACAAAGGGGCTCCGTTTTAACAGGTCAGCATGTAACACCACCACCACCCCTGGATTTTAAAAGGGAACTCCTGGTCCAAAGGTCTCCCCCCCAAAAAAAAACTGCTACCCACCCCCCTGGGCGTTTTCTTTTTTCAGACACTTGTGAAAAGACCTCTCATGTCCCGTAGGAGCTGCAGGGAGCAGATCTTTGCGGTTTTTCTTAGGCTGTTGTTAGTTCGCTAAAATGACTCCCAAGAGTTATGGCGCTTTGGTCAACAGCTGAAAACAAAGGGGCTCAGTTCCAACAGGTCAGCATGTACGCGCCCCCCCTCCCCGGATTTTAGAGGGGTGCTTCTGCTCCAAGGCCCTCCCGCAGGTGATTTCTTTTTAAAAAACTAACAGATAAAGACTTCTCTTGACCTGCAGGAGCTTCAGGAAGCAGATCTTCGGGTTTTTCTTAGGCTGCTGTTAGTTGGCCAAAATGACTCCCAAGAGTTACGGTGCTTTGGTCAAGAGCGGAAAACAAAGGGGCTCCAATGCCAGAGGTCACAAAATTATTACTCTTGTTAAATTAGACATATTGCTAAGTTAAGGAATAAGAAAAAGGCAGTGGGTTGGGGGGGGGGTCTCTTCCACACAGCTGTGTTAACAAGTTTGCAAAAGAAATTATAAGGTTTAATCCTGACTTGGGAGCTAGAAGAAGTTCCTTTTTTTATTGTTTTGTTTTGTTTGGATGATAATTCCCAGAATGATTTGTGTAGGTTTCTGGGAGTTACCACACCAGAAAGAAACTTCCCTTCCAGCAGCCCAATGCTTCGTAGCTTGGAAGGTCCCGACTCACGATCCTAGGGACCCGCGTGTGGACGACCCTCGTCAGCCACTGGTAAGGGAAAGTGCTCTGCCCATGCTCAGGAGCACACCGTTACTACTTTCTCGTTTCAGGGCTGCTGGCGAGGGCCACCTGACCGCTGCAGGGACCTGGCTTGCACTGCAATGATCGGTCATCTTCTTCTGCCACAACCGCAACCGCACGGGAGGACGTGGACTGACCCAGATAGGCCTCCTCCTCTTTCCCCCTGAACTGAGAAGCCACGGCGTCCGCTTCCAGCAACGGAGCATGGTGAGGGGGCGACATCTAGTGGAGCGCTCGGGAAAGTGCAGGGGGTTGATTTTCCAGGGTCGGCAGGAAAAGGAGCAGCCGGGCTGGTCCCATCATGAGGCAGAATCGGGCAGCAGGCGATCCATTTAATCCATTTCGAAGCTGCTTCTTTTTTTACTGTCAAGAAGGAAGGAGCTACAGGAGGCAGGGTTTTTTTTTTTTGCCTCGGGCACCAAAATAACTTGGCCAGCTTTGGTGACCATGGGCCCTGACTTTGGGGTACGGATTGCTGCTTTGCCTCAGGCAGCAAAATGGCTTGGATTTCCGCCCCCCTTCCGCTGTGACCATTGCCTCCTCTTTAAAGGCCGGGGGGGGTTGCCTCTGAGGGAACCAGCGCGAAGAGGGTCCCGGGAGCTTGAATGGCTGCCCTCCAGCCCCGGCTGCTCAGCTCTTGGGCCGGGTGGGGGGGACTTTGTCCCATTGCTCACGTTC